ACCTGCAACTTCAACAAAAATGGGATCCTCCGCTTCTGACGAATCCAACAACAATGACAGCAGCATCCAATCCACCAGCGCCGACAGCCGTGCAATCGTCTTCTTGCCCATGAAACCCAATAACCACATGATTGAACTACGCAACACCCTTTTTGATGACAGGTTTGCGATAATGATTGAGTTCTTCAAGAATTGTATCCTGCTCCCTGCCTTAACTCTAGTGAACCCAAACGTACCCTTAAAGTACGTTCAACAATACTGGCAGACCTGCGAGTTTGATCCTCCCAGTCATGGAATAATGGGAGACATAGACGCCCCAAATGACATGGTTTGCTTGGTAAAAATATCGCGAGCAAAAGTTTCTAAGGTTCTGTGTATTCCCATAAGAAAGGAACTAGGGATCGAGCAATATGACGAACCACCTTCCTCCGACGACATCCTAAGGTTCATGAAGATGCTAGGGTACAATCGTGAACTGCGAAATGTATCAGACTTCAAAAGACAATTCCTCCCGCCAATGTGGAATTTGTTCTTTTTCATTCTCAACCGATCCCTCACCTGCAAGCTCGGTTCACTCGACCAAGGAAATCTCAACATAATGACAATTATGTATGGGCTTTTCTTCAACCTTAATCTCAACTACGCCTTCCACATCTACAACGAGATTCATGCGGCCGTGATCAAAAAGTGCAAATTTCAAGCTGCAGGAAAGCCACTATCTGCTGTACTCTTTCCCCGCTTCCTTGCTCTTTTCATTGGGGACGCGATGGTGCGACATGGACTACCTGCTGTGGAGCCTTTTACCACAAACTACAAGATGCAAGGACATCGCCCAACACTATCGAAGGAAGGATACACCACAAACAGACCGTTGTCCCGGCTATGCTCACTTTCATACCATTGACAAGTGAGATACGCCAATCCTATGAACGTTCCATGTTGTCCCAAGAACTGAAGACAGCTACCCCAGAGCACTTAGAGCTGTCCCCCCTCCAAGCGAGGGAGAACCTGCGTCATCTTCATCGGATGACGAAGATGATGATGATGATGATGCTAGTGCTTCCCCCGGCCCTTACCAAAATATTCCCCACCCTACTACCCAAATGGCAACCACATCTACTACGCCTGGCGATCAAAGCCAAAGGGGTATTGAAACAGGACGACCCAGTCCCACCCAAACCCTAGCCAGCCATCCAGAGGCCATTCTTCGGGCCTCTGGAGATGAACAAGCCGAGGAACCTCATATCCCATCACCCCTCTCTCAACAGAGAGGTGATGAAGAAACAAGAGCCCCTTCGCCTCAGGGCTCACCACAACCCTTCACACACACAGAAGCATTTGTTGCTTCTTACATTGATCCCATAGATCGTTCAGAGCAATCTTCAATTCATGCACCACTCCCCTCGGTATTTGATCTACCAAAAGGGACACACATCCGCTTCACTTCCTCAGCCCCTGAAGCTGAAGAAGAGGAAGAGGATGTTCCAACATCACGAGATAGTTCTTCTCTCGAAGGCTATCAAGGACATGATGGAAGTTGTTAGCTCCAATTTCCTTAATGTAAAAGTATAGAAAAAGTAAACTGCGAGTATTGACAGAAGATGATCTGTCACAGAAGACCACAGAGGACCAACAGAAGAAGATGCTCAAGCGTTCAAGTCTCAGGTGACAGAACCTCTGTCGTGTCTCACAGAGGTTCTGTAAACTGGTCCTCTGCATAGACGTTGCTACAAGTCAAAGACGACAGAACCTCTGTCGTGTCTCACAGAGGTTCTGTAAACTGGTCCTCTGCATAGACATTGCTACAAGTCAAAGACGACAGAACCTCTGTCGTGTCTCACAGAGGTTCTGCAGCATGTTTTTTGTATAGATCTTCTTTAAGCTGTTTTACTTAGGTTTACTAGCTGCTCGTGCTTATCACGTGTTCTTGTTTGTAACCTGTTTATGATCTAACGGCTTAGATTAATTTGCTTTAGCTCATGTCAGAAAACGGTTATTTACTTGTATAAATAGCAGCGTAGGCCCTTGTATTTCAGTGTGCTTCAGTATTGTAATTGTCAACATTTTCATTAAAATTGAAAATCATTTTGAAGCTCTCTCTTGTGTTCTTCAGTCATCTTAATCGTGTTCTTATTGATTTCTACTGTGCTTGATTGTTATTATTTCCGCTGCAATATCACTGTCAAACATATCATCAAAGTAAGTAATCTATACCAAGAAACTGAGTTAATCGATCCAACATTTGGTATCAGAGCCTGGAATCAAATTTTAATTTGATTTATTTTGTTCTTGGTATTCTCCCTCATTCGCTCAAGAACACAGTCGTCTTCTTCACCAGGTTACCCTGTTTTCACT